TGTCTGTCTGTCTGTCTATATGTATGGGTACTTAGGTATGTGTATGTGTGTGTGTATATATATATATGTGCGTCACATCGGTCGGCGTTCTTCTCTGAATGCAGATGTCTTTTGATCCTTAGGCCATATAATAGCTTAGGTCGGCCTTGAAGCCTACAACCTGTATCCTAAGCTGTCAGTCCACTATTTATGTTACAGCCGAGCCCGTCTGTCATGCCAGTTGCAGCAGGCAGTTGTGCCGCATGGTTCACGATTTTGGAGAACGATTGCCCGATGATTTCAACAGACCCTATACACCCGAAAGCAATGAAGTTCGGTGAAGCATGTTCTTGAGATGTGTCTTGTATGTTGATCCCAAGGTGCTCAAGACAGCCTAAGCCATGAACTCCTAACCCGAGCCCCTGAAGTCCTCACTTAGCTTCTACAAATTGAAAAGCTAGCCCAGCGAGTAGACCCAATCTCCAAGGCCGCAGCAACGTCCGACTCCAGATGCGATCAGCTTCAGTGCCCTTCTCGCCGATTGGGCGGAGGCATGAGGGCATGAAGGCGGTGCAGAATTTAGGTGAAAAAGCTGAGGGAGTTGGGGGCTGTGGGTTTAAAGGGTCGTTTCTTAGTTTAGAGTTCCCGCGATCGGCAGGGAGAGATGAACTTGTGCAGCTCAGAAAGAACTATGTCTAAAGCCCACAGCCGCCTCACAGGAAATGCCCCCCCTTTGCTCAACTCACATCTATCCGTGGAGCTCGGTGTAACCATGATTCCAAGGTGTGTGTTCTTTCACTTTCAAATCACTTCAAGGCATTAAAGGGCTGTTTAGTCCTTTGCCTAAAACACAATGAAGTATTTCTGTAGTACTATGGGTTGTGGGGCATAGTCACATAGTCCCTAGATACAGTTGCACAAAGGCCGAAGCGCATACAATGCCTTCGTAAGCCTGGTGAACTGCAAAAGTCCTTAAGCCATACCCTCTGCAGCATCATAGCCAGGGTTGCACCAAGTAATATAGGGTTTCGGGGGCTCTTTGTTATGATTATATTATCATATACAATACACACCCCCAAAAAAAACATGCCTCTTGTAATGATTCAGGCCCCTACATTTAACCGCAATCCAAAACTCCTCGTGCCTAAACCCAAGACAAAACGGTCGAACGCTTAAACACTGGTTTGCACTGGACCTTAAGCCAAAAATTGCCATAAAAGCCGTGAAAGCCCTGCAACGCCTTTTTTTGACATCCCAATGCAGCCACAAGCCCTAAACTCTAAGCCTTAAGCCCTAAATCCGAAGCCCCCTCCCAAAACGCCTTAAACCCCAACCCGCAACAAGCCCTAAACCTTAAACCCGAAACGCCAGAAAGCCGGAAAAAGCTCTAAACCCTATCAGCCCTAGCCCTATAAGCCCGATGTCCCAATCTGAACCCTAAACCCTAAACCCCCTAAGCCCTAAACCCTAAACCCCTAAACCCCCCCAATTTCACCCCCTTAACCCCTTAACCCCCCTAAACCCTAAACCCTAAACCCTAAACCCTAAACCCTAAACCCTAAACCCCAAGCCCTGAACCAGGGCACCTGGGACTCTGCCCTGGTTGTCTTGGACGCCGCGCGCAAGTCTCGGGTCGCGGAACCTCGACGTGGACGTTCGGGGTTCGCTGAAAGCTTCGAAAGGAGAGGGTTTTAGGGGTCTTAGGGGTTTAGGGGTCTAGGGGTTTAGGGTTTGGGGGTTTAGCGGTTTAGGGGTTTATGGGGTTTATGGCTTTAGTGGTTTAGGGTTTAGGGGTTTAGGGTTTAGCTTGTCCAAAGACTCCCATACATTTATGGGGGGTTGAGGATTTAGGGGGCCTAGGATTTGCTTTTTCATAGTTCCAGGTATTGTGGTTGGACACAGGGTTAACCGGCATCAGGGCGTAAGGATCTAGGACCCTAAATCCTACACCCTAAAAGATCTAGGATTTTGGTGGGCTCCCCGGTGGACAGTCAACGGCCACAGGGCAGGTTTTGGAAGTTCACCCATGTTCGAAATGAACTTAGGGTTTAAGGGTTTAGGGTTTCCGTGAACCCTAAACCCTGAACCCTAACCCAGCGGAGTCTGGGTTCAAAAAAGGGTTGGTGGAAGAACTCCCGGAGTTGCATTGAAAGGCCGTGTAGACTTCAGCAGCCCCGGGCCTGGAGACGCTTCTGTCGGATGTTTTGACTGAGGCCCAGGGCTCAGGGCGCGTGCCCATCAGGCTTAGCACCAAAAAGAATCCGAATTTTAAACAGTAAATGGAAAACAGACACCATAGAGACACACAAACAAACAAACAGACAGACAGACAGACAGACAGACAGTGAATGCACACACAAATGCAGAGGAACATATATACAGCATCGCATTACACTCAATCATATGTACATGACCTGGCAAGTAACGAATATGCAACTCATTTAAGAATTGAGCTTTAGGCATTTGGTCTTGAATTTTAGGATGACCTGCCATAGGTAGCCTTCAAAATAAAGGTTCGAGTGTCTGGCAGTTCTGGTTTAGAGTTCAGCGTTTATCGCGATCTTGCCCAGGATGCTACACTTTTCACGGCAGCAATCGGCACGCAAGGCAGGGATATGGTAAGCATATGGTTCCCGGAGAATGTTGTGCATGTCACTTAAGAGTCTAGAGGCTGGGATGGGTTGTTTTTGTCAGGTTGCATTGGAAGCTTAGGCTGAGTTCTGGCAGCGTGTTGCTACGTGTCCTGGCCGGGTTCGAAATGCTTCTTCGCGGATCGTGCAAACCGACGCAGATGCCATGATTCATGAAGGGTGTGTTTGCTTTGAAGCTGCGGTCGGCTGTATTGAGATTTTGACGTGTCCATTGGGTCTGTGCTTGGCCCATGCCGTTGATATCTCCACCTTGGGCTCAAGACAAAGCCGGATTGCCGAGCTGAGAACGCCCCTTTGAGCTCGCCGGAGCTCTCCGATACATTAGGCAGGCTCCTTCCGCCGTCGGCAGAAGCTCTACATCACCATGGTGCTTCCGATGGCTTTGCTCCGCACGGCACAGAATCAGCCTATGCACCTTGGCATGCATTCACAGCCTTGTTTCTCTTCTGAGAAAAGGTGCTCTTTAGTCTGCCTGACATAACCCTCCAAGTATACAAATATTACCTACTTTGGCGTCTAAAGTCTGTAAATAGTACCTACTTTGGCCTATTTGGGGCCCGAGGGCAATGGAATTATGGCCGACCCTCATGGCCACAGTGTGTGCCCGGAGACCTCCAAGCAAGCACGTTGTGTCGCCTAAGTTATCTTAAGACTTAAACACAGCGAAGCGAAGATGCGGAGAGCCAATGCTGCTGGAAGGTACAATCGAGAACGGTAGAACAAGATGATGATACGACCTCGCCATGCAAGGCATTCACAGCTAAATCAAGCAAGGAAGGCCCCGGCTTTAGCATTCAGGGTCCCAGCACCGGCAGTATCCGCGAAATCTTCCCCTTCACTGAAGTCCCACATGCGTCAGTGCCTCTGTGAGAATCTGTGAAACCGGTGTATAGTCTGAAGCTGAAGAAGTCGAAGCTATGTCCCGAGCAGCCTTAAGCCCAAGGATGGTGGAGCTCAAGAACGGAGAGACCTACAGTGGAGTGCTCGCCTCCTGCGATGGCTTCATGAACCTGTTCCCGGGCATGGATGGAGTCAACTGGGGCTCAGGTTGAATTGACGTTTGAGATTGCCGGTCTCGGTCAGGGGTTTGTGTGTAGGTAAGATGTCGGCCTGGTGAGGCAACAGTTTCTGCCGTGATTCACGGGACCATGGTGCATCAGTAGAGAAGGCCGTCCCTAAACAACATACCTTGATAACTTAGCCCTACCTATAATACTCCTAGGTAGTATCATGGAGACCCCTTAAGGGACCCTTCTTCTGGCTCTCTTAAAAGGGACCGTATTGCGAGGGACTGAACAACTACATCACACATGTACAACTGCGGACACGCGACGCCGAATGAACAAGCAGACATATTATATGCATGCATGCAGTGTATGTATGTATGTATGTATGTATGTATGTATGTACACATACCTTTGTCTACCTACCTATCTATCTATGTTTCTATTTTCTATTTATCTGCCCAACCATCTACCTATCTATTTATCTATTTATCTATCTATTTACCTACCTGTCTATCTAACTATCTACCCATCTATCTATCTATTTAACTATCTGTATATCTATCTATCTATCGATCTGTTCGTTTGTGCTTTCAAACATAAACATGCAAACAACCAAAGAAATAGCCATGCGTACGCACATACACAGATATAGTTGCTTGGCAAAAAACTTATGGCATATGTATATACGTATGAATCGACATACATTTTCTACGTACTATGCTAGCATGAACAACAAGGTTTTGGGGTTACCCGCCTAAGCCGAACAAACCCTAAACCCTAAACCCCCCTAATCCCAGGCACATGCGCGATATCGTGTGCACTTCCCGCGACGGCGAGCGCTTTTGGAAGATCCCGGAGTCTTCGGCTAGAAGTTGCTCAGGTGATGCAGAGTGTAGGGATTAGGGTTCAGTTTTGGGTTTGGGGCTCTAGGAGTCAGCCTCTAGGGTATCTGGGGAAGTTACTTGAGATCGGAGGCACCCATGAACACTAGGCACTCAGCTGTAAATCCAATAGCGCGCATGAACCCTGAGCCCCGTTCCATCAGCCGCAAACCGTAAACTTTCAAGCTACTTCAAGCATTCCCCGACTCAATTGGTTGAGGGTTTGTTTCGTGGCTTAAGGCCTGGGGTTTACGGCAAGTTGAGTATGAATGTTCTTCGGGTTCGCAGTGCCTGCAAGGAGTAGTTGTTTTAAGTGTAAGACTTTCTTGGCCATGCGAAATGCATGCAGGTCAAGCCTTGACCCAACGTGAATTTAGGCCACCAATCTGACGCTGCAGCCTCCAAACTTTATCTCCGATAGAAAGGGCGGTCGTAAGTAGAAGTATCCTGAACCCAAACCCTACACTGTTACTCGCAGTGAAGGGCGGGCTGCTGATAACCGATTTGCTGCTGCAAGCGCACCTGAGTCATTATTTGGGCCCTGCAACATGACATTAGTGTACCCGATCTGAGCTGAATCTTTCCAGCTAGAAGCCAGTTAGTACCATAGCCTGCGAAGAGGACAGCGGTTACAACCCGGAAACCCCATGGCACCCTTATAGGCCCCTTCTAAACCCCTCACATGAAAGAACACGCTATTGAAGAACAGAAGTAACGAACTCCTCGATTAAGGGCTTAGTGTTAAGGGTGTCGGGTTAAGGGTTAGAGGTTTGGGGTTAAGGGTTTTAGGGTATAGGGTTAACGGCCAGGGGTTTAGGTTCAGGGTTTTGGAGGTCAGGCTTCGGGAGTGCCTCTTGTTTCTGTCCTGGTTGAGTCGCTGCAAACCAGATGCAAAAAAAGAGGTCAGGGTTTGGGGTTTGGGCAGGGTTAAGGCCTACACCCAAACCCTGAATTCCATGCTCGCACAACCAGAACTTTTCAGCACATGCTCCATCTTCGAACCCTGAAAGCATCATATAGGAGCCTGGGTAATTGCCAATTAGTATGCCTTAGGGTTGCTCGTTATACCTGAGCTACAATACACCCTAAAGCCCTCATATTAGTTACGTGTCGCCAGAGAGCCAATTCAGTCCATTGCTTCAGCAGTCAAAATCTGCAGGGCGCACGAGAAGTAATGAAATCCTGACACGGAACATCTCGTCCTGTCACACCTTTACACGCTAAACGGGCCTCTCCACTTTCTCCAGAGTAGAATTGGATTCACACCGACCCACCTACCGCCCGCTTCACGAGACACTTCATTTGCAGCTTCGCGCCTGGAAGGTTTTCGATGGTAGGTTTCCAGTCTAAGTGAACAGGGCCAGTTTCGGTCTAAGCGCCGTGCCTGCTGAGGAATGCTATGTTCGTGGTAACAGCATCAAATACTTACGCTTGCCCGACGAGGCCACTGCGAGCAGGGCTTCAATGGCTACGGGGCTATGTTTGTGGCCACTTGCTGTAGAGATGTGCTTTGGAAAGGTGCAAAACCTTGAATTCGCAAGGAGGCCGCCAGAATATCCCAGTCCGTCGGGTTGCTTTGGGCGTTGTCTTCGTGTCCTCTCTGCAGTGCATAGAAATATGATACATATATACACATTTACATACATGTATACATACATGTATACATACATACATACATACAGACAGACAGACAGACAGACAGAAAGACACACACACATATGTATACCTATATAGATATGTATATATATATATATATTTATTTATTTATATATATTTATGCATATGTATATGTATATGTATATGTATATGTATGTGCATAATTTGTATATATATATATGCAAATCTATTAACTTGCTTATCTTTCCTTTATGCCCCATGTACATGCATTTACATGCCTGCATGCACGGATGGATGCATTCTCCTGCTCCCTCCCTCTCTCTCTCTATATATATATGTACACACATACATATACAAGCATATGTGTGCACCTATGTATGTAGGCATGTATGTAAGTTATAAGTGTATGTAAGTATGTAAGTAGGTAAGTATGTAAGTAAGTGAGTATGTATGTCTGTATGTATGTACGCATGTCTATGTGTATGTGTGTGTATGTATGTATGTATGCATGGAGGTAGGTAGGTAGGTAGGTAG